CTCCCTGCCTGCCCCATCACTGCTGCCTGTACTTTCCAAACCCTTTCACTGGGGCCATAGTGACATTTCCACCATGCCAAAGGCAGGGGGACCCAGTGTCTCTGTGGTGTCTCGTGCCAAGCTCCATGGGAGCAGGCGGCATCAGCACCGGGAGAGGAGCTGGCACGGGCCATGCCAGGACTGGCTTGCCCAGCCAAAGACTGTGTGGGAAGGAGGGGAAGAAGGGGGAGGAGGAATTCCTCACTGCAAAGTAATTTGAGGGAGGAAAACTTGTGAAAACAAGATGTTTCGACATTGTCAGAAGAAGTGTGTTGCTGGTCAGGAATGTCTTTTCCATGTCTGAAAATGCGTGAGTTATAATGAAAGACATTTGTGAAAGGGGAAAAAAAAACCCAACCAAAAAACCAAACAAAAAAACCCAAAGCCCAAAACCCAGCCCAAATGACTGCAAGGCCAAAGTGCTGCCTGTTGCCCCTGGAGGGCTGGGGCTTCCCACTCTCCAGAGAGCCCCAGCTTGCATGAAGGCACTGCACATCACTGGACAGTGAGCAATGCCCAGGCTTGGCTATACCATGCCATGGGCTGGTGCTTTGCTGTCACGACTGGGACCTACTCACAGGTGCCATGTACCCTGCAGGCACCTTTAGCTCCTGTCCAGGCAGCATGGCCCCACAAAGCAAAGGCAACACCAGGGCTGGAGCAAGCGCTTCCCCAGCAATTCTGCCCTGGGGCTGGCACAGGGGGGGTCCCAGCAAGCCCTTAGTGTGTGAGGGTGCCCTCTCCCAGGTTACAAGGGTTGGTGCTGAGCCAGAGATGGCTGACAAGTGTTTGGGAGCTGGGTGCAGGGGTCTTGGGTACCAGCAATGCCCTCTTGTCTCTGCCACAGGCAGTGCTGCCCGGAGTACCCACCGGTGCTGGAGTCAAGCCAAAAGGTCCAGGTAGGTCCCCTCGATCCCCTGGGGACAATGGGGTGGAGGGTGGGTCCAGGGCTGGCTCCAGCTCTGCCTTCATCCTCATCCTGCTGGGGCTGGCTCCAGCCCATCCTTTGGGTCACAGCCCCACAGGGCACATGGGCAAGCAAAGCCAACCTTTAGCTGAGCCCATGCAACCCATGCAGACTAGTCTGGAACCCAAGGACCAGCCCAGATGCTCACATGGGTGCATTTGTGTTTCTGCCTAGGAGTAGGAGCCTTTGCAGGAATCCCTGGTGAGTGTCCCATCTCTCTCGCCTATCCTTCTCTTCCTTCCCAAGCCTGTTCATCACAGCCGTGGCCTCCCCACACCAGAAGATGCCTCAGGGCTTGCTGAGCCACCCGTTTTCCTCTCCTGGGGTGCCCCGGGGCACTCCCCTCTTGCAGCGATTGGTGCGGGCTCCAGGTGAGAGTCTGCTGTTGGCTTTGCAGGACTAGGAGGTTTTGGAGGTCAGCAGCCCGGTGTCCCCCTGGGGTATCCCATCAAAGCTCCTAAGCTCCCAGGTAAGCTGCCACAGCCAAAGGGGCTAGGGGTGATGGACCCCCAGCAGTGCCAGAAGGACCCG